ATCAACGGTTTTCCAAACAGTTTTTGGGGCTGGGGTGGAGAAGATGATGACTTGTGGAATAGAGTGTCATTTGCTGGATATGAAGTGTCAAGGCCTGTAGGTAGTATAGGATATTATAAATCAATTCAACATCATCATAAAGGAACACCACAAAATCTAGCAAGGTAAGAGATGCTATATAATGTTTTGTGTAGTCTGGTTGTGGTTATTTTTTAAAGAACCAATAAGTCTGATTGGAAACTTATGAATGATTCGTTGAAGAGTAGTTATTTTTAAAAAGGAGTGTCATGCACTGTACATTTAGCTATCAAAACTTATTCTGGTATAATATTGAGTTAAAAATATCAACTACTTCTTCAGACTAAAATGACTGTAAAGTAATCCAAGAATTTTCTGAAATTATTGATGAAAATTAGCTCATTTAATTGGACCAAATTGCAGTACAAGTTGGTAATTCGTGTGCATAAATCTTCTTTGTATAACATGTGTGAGTTTAGTTACATAAGTACATTGTAGAGTATTTTTGATTTTAGGTTACAACACATTTTTATGAGTTCATGTTCTCAATGTTCATACTTTTGGTTTGTTCCTTTCTGATTATTTCTTTAATTTTTTGCTTTTCATTCACAGATTTTCTCTACTATGGAAATCGAAAGAGAGGAATCGATATGATGGGTTAAGTAACTGTATGTACGGCCATGCTACCATAAGTGTACACTCACTGTACTTCAATATATCTGTGGATATACGCAAAGTAGACATTATAATGGACTCTTAAATATATATTCATATATTGTAAAGGTGCTCTTTTTATTTTATAAATGCACAACATTTTTTTGTATTATAGTGTATAGTTTTCTCATTGATGTAATGTGCAATGAATTGTGCTTGGTCTTAAACTAAATTCAGGCAGTGTGTAAATGTTAATTGTGTTAGATATCATGATTGATACCCCTGGTATACACTTGAGGTAGTACTGTGGCTTCTAGCTACTGGATTAAAACGTCTCTTTTCTAGCTCCTGGATAAATACTCCTCTTTTCTAGCTGGCAGATAAGACTTCTGTTTGTCTTCTAGCTGGTTGGTTAGGACATCGGTCTTCCAGCTGGCTGGATAAGACTTCTGTCTCTAACTGGCTGGATAAGACTTCCGTTTGTCTTCTAGCTGATTGGTTAGGACATCGGTCTTCAGCTGGCTGGATAAGACTTCTGTCTTGTAACTGGCTGGATAAAACTTCTGTCTTGTAACTGGTTGGATAAGACTTCTGTCTCTAACTGGCTGGATAAGACTTCTGTCTCTAACTGGCTGGATAAGACTTCTGTCTCTAACTGGCTGGATAAGACTTCTGTCTCTAACTGGCTGGATAAGACTTCTGTCTCTAACTGGCTGAATAAGATTTCTGTCTCTAACTGGCTGGATAAGATTTCTGTCTCTAACTGGCTGGATAAGACTTCTGTATCTAACTGGCTGTATAAGACTTCTGTCTTTTAACTGGCTGGATAAGACTTCTGTCTCTAACTGGCTGGATAAGACTTCTGTCTCTAACTGGCTGGATAAGACTTCTTTCTCTAACTGGCTGGATAAGACTTCTGTCTTGTAACTGGCTGGATAAGACTTCTGTCTCTAACTGGCTGGATAAGACTTCCGTTTGTCTTCTAGCTGATTGGTTAGGACATCAGTCTTCTAACTGGCTGGATAAGACTTCTTTCTCTGGCTGGCTGGATAAGACTTCTGTCTCTAACTGGCTGGATAAGACTTCTGTCTCTAACTGGCTGGATAAGACTTCTTTCTCTAACTGGCTGGATAAGACTTGTGTCTTGTAACTGGCTGGATAAGACTTCTGTCTCTAACTGGCTGGATAAGACTTCTGTCTCTAACTGGCTGGATAAGACTTCTGTCTCTAACTGGCTGGATAAGACTTCCGTTTGTCTTCTAGCTGATTGGTTAGGACATCAGTCTTCTAAATGGCTGGATAAGACTTCTTTCTCTGGCTGGCTGGATAAGACTTCTGTCTCTAACTGGCTGGATAAGACTTCTGTCTCTAACTGGCTGGATAAGACTTCTGTCTCTAACTGGCTGGATAAGACTTCTGTCTCTAACTGGCTGGATAAGACTTCTGTCTTGTAACTGGCTGGATAAGACTTGTGGCTGGATAAGGATTCTGTTATCTAGCTGACTATAAAAACTTTAATAATTCCCAAATCCTATTTTGTTACTTCCATTCTTTCTGTCTTGAGTTTCAGGAGTTTTTAAAAATAGTATTTTGTTGTAAATTGTACAAAGTAGTGTTTATGTTAGTAGCATTTATAGCCATACATTTACATTTGCTTTACATGAGTGTTAAAATGCATTATGAAATTGCAACTCTTCTCACTTGAGATATACCTGCCAAACATCCACTGTCATAAAAATCGGATAATCCTATTTATTTTAAATCATAGTTTTTTCACTCTTTAGTTTTCTCATAGACAGTTTTGAGTTTAAGGTTTTGAGTAAATTATGCTAGTGTGATTGGTTAATCATGACTTCAATAAATGCATTAATGATTGGATGGAACTGGATTCATTGATATCAAACCCCTGATATCAGTGGCATGATAGATTCCAGAGTCAGTTTTTGTTTCACAATCTTAATTTTTCTTACATTGTTATTCCATCTTGCTGTAGAACCCATACAGCATTTATAAATGTTGTACAATCAAATGATATGAAATTAATAACACAGCTCTAATTTATTGATTCTCTCTGTCATATAACAGAATCAACCACATAAATTTCTGTACAAACTTCTGTACAGACACATTCAACTTTAATGATGCCGTTTCATTAAATCATACCATTTTATAATTGGGTTCATACTTAGTGTTGATCAAGTACAAAATTAAAGTTCATTAGTTGGATGGTTGTTAAACTATATGCTACTTAACACATTTTGAAACAAACTTTAGTAGGTGATATGAAATGAATAATTCACTGAAAAACTGCCAATAATTGTATTTGCTGTATTATGTACTTTATGATAGTGTTGCTTTGAGAAGACTATGCACCATTAACATTTTCCGAAAAAGAACAACAACAACAATCAGCTGGTCTGACTTACCCATTTATTATCGGTTGATATTTAACGATAATAACATTCATATGACGTGGTTCCCTCTTTCAGCAGCCCTTGATGAGTTTCAATACCATTATACATGACTGGTATGTAATAATTTGATATCTAGTCTGACAATTCTTCACCTTTCGGTCAATATTACAGGAATGCTGTGTTCATTTAACAATTAAAGTAGAAAAAGTCACCTGACAGAAAAGTAAAGAATGATCTATTTATTTATAGTGATAGATTTGGGGTAATGACTGGGGACACTCATATGTCAATTATCCTGAAACAATTATAAGCAGCTCATTTATAACAGATATATTGACTACTGTATTTGCTCTATTACATGCGCATCTTCAAAAGAAACCCACTAAACTTAACATTGCATTTATTGTGCGCTATATATTTATTTTGACAAAAGATAGAGATAATATGATAGTTTGATTTTCCTGATATGTGTTTCATTTGCTACAATGTAAATTTGGCAAAAGACAGTTTGCATTATTGTGGTTGATGTGTGTATTGATTTAGTAAATTCTCAAAGATTAATTCTTCCATCAAATCAATATATACATTGCTGTGCTATGTCTGTATTGATGCGTGTGATCACTATGCTATATATACAGTGGTGTGTATGGCCACTGTGTTATATATACATTGGCGTGTATGGCCACTATGCTATATATCCATTGGTGTGTATGGCCACTGTGCTAGATATACATTGGTGTGTATGGCCACTGTGTTATATATACACTGGTACATTGGTGTGTTTGATCACTATGTTATATATACATTGGTGTGTATGGCCACTGTGCTATATATACATTGGTGTGTATAGCCACTGTGCTATATATACATTGGTGTGTATGGCCACTGTGCTAGATATACATTGGTGTGTATGGCCACTGTGTTATATATACACTGGTACATTGGTGTGTTTGATCACTATGTTATATATACATTGGTGTGTATGGCCACTGTGCTATATATACATTGGTGTGTGTGATCACTATGCTATATATACATTGGTGTGTATGGCCACTATGCTATATATACATTGGTGTGTATAGCCACTGTGCTATATATACATTGGTGTGTGTGATCACTATGCTATATATACATTGGTGTGTATGGCCACTGTGTTATATATACACTGGTACATTGGTGTGTTTGATCACTATGTTATATATACATTGGTGTGTATGGCCACTGTGCTATATATACATTGGTGTGTATAGCCACTGTGCTATATATACATTGGTGTGTGTGATCACTATGCTATATATACATTGGTGTGTATGGCCACTGTGCTATATGTGGATTTGTGTGTGTGGCCACAGTGCTATAAGTGGATGTGATCGCTGTGCTTTTATATACATATTTACTTGTTAAAAGCCAACAGTGCTTATGAATACATGTCTGCCCTAAATGTTAGTCGTGGCACATTGAGGTTATATGTATTTGACCTGCTTACCCCTAACACTTTGTTTTGCTTGTAAGTGTAATCTATTAATAATTTCCACATTTTTTTTACATAAGATGGACAGTTTTGGCTTGTCTAAAATATCTACAACCTGTAGTGTTGATTTGTTTACTTTCTAATCATGTGTGCCAACTATAGACATTGTGGAATTTTGTTACTTTATTTATTTTCCTACAATTGTAAACCATTGCCATTGTTGCTGTTCGTTACCGTTTAAAATAATGTGCATTGCATATATTGTGTAAAGAAATCAACTTTTGTAATTTCTTTTTATACTAAATTTTGCCTCCTTATATTCTAAATAGATTCAAGCGGTGTATATACATCAACTCTCAAGTAGCAGTATATTTCATTTTACTGTAAATGCCGTTTACCATGTTTATAACTTTGCAATTTAACCATTATTTAATCCACGTTTTTTATATTGCGTCATCTGCAATAAAAATTATAAAGATTCAAACTGTTTTTGTTTTTTCTGCGGTTACTGTTTATGTTCATGATACCATGCAGGTGTATGGAGGTCTGCTCTACAGATATTTGAACCACAGTCAACAGTGGAGCTAATAAAAACTGGTTATTGTAAGTTAACGTTGACAACAACAATGACACAAGAACAAACATTTACCCCTTCATATTCCTTGCCTTTCATCTATGATATGGTCAAGGTAAAAATTGCTAACTGTATGTGGAGCATCCCAGACCACCCATGTACCAAGTTTCTTTATATTTAAAGTGGATTTTGAGATATCTGTGGAACAGCTGAAAATTGGCTGATATATGAAAGTACAGATTTCTACCTTAAACTTATCAGGTGCATTTTTATTGTGTCAAGTGTCATTGAAATGGACTAATTAGTACTTTAGATATCAGCGTGAAAGCTCAAAATTGGTTAAATATGCAAATTAGGTAATTAATATGTACAGATTTTAACCCAAAATTAATCGAGTCTCTGCATAGTCCTGGAGGATCTATGTACCAAGTTTCATTGAAATGTAATGCTTAGTACTTGAAATATCAAAAGCTGAAAATGAATAAAATTATGTACAATGTACTGATATTACCCTAAAAACTATCAGGTCTGTGCAGTGTCCTTTGATATCTATGTACCAAGTTTCATTAAAATGTGATGATTAGTACTTGAGATATCAGTGGAAAAGCTGAAACTTGCCTAATCATTATGCAAATTTGGTAATTAATATGCACATATTTTCGCCCAAAACTAATCAAAATTAGTTAGAGCATCTATGAACCAAGTTTCATCAAAATCAATGAATGGTTGCTTAGATATCAGTGGAACAGTCATGGCTCCGGGGGGGGGGGTGTCTTACACTTTACACCATGTGCATTCTTGCTAAAAAGTGGAGTGTGATCAACTCAAACAAACTAATGGTTACTGTGTATGCAACTCCTTGGTGTCATTGCTTTATGGGTCAGCCAATTCGGCCTAGGGCGGTGTATGGAATAGTTGTTGCAAGAGGGGCCTACAACGGGCGCAGCAACCCTGTGAGTATATTCCTATGGGCCTATTGTATTAGCATTTTAAATAGGGCCTATTTACCTCCCGCGCGGGCCCGCTTTAGAAGGTGAAAAACAATGCCTTTCCCACTAAATTTGGAACGCACATGGGGTAGTATTAAACATCATATAGAGTGACCCCCATGGAAGTCATGGAACACTTAAAAATTAGGTAATTGTTATGCACAGATTTTCACTCAAAACTGTGCATAAGTTCAGAGCATCTATGTACCAAGTTTCATCAAAATCCAATGAGTGGTTGTTTGGATATCAGTGAAACAGTCTCGGAACAGTTAAAAATTACCTAATTATCATGCAAATTAGGTAATTATTATTCACGGATTTCTACCAAAACCAAATCTGCGCATTGACCCAGAGCATCTATGCACCAAGTTTTATCAAAAACCAATGTATGGTTCTTGAGATATCAGCAGAATAGACAGACAGACAGACAGACAGACACACTAAGCCCTAACTGCAAAGACTCCCAGTGTGCTTTGCACACGGGAGTCAAAAACAAAACAGATATACTGATTTTGATAATTTTTTAGCACAAAAATGGCCAGCAATTTGAATCAGATCATCAAACCAATACATCTAGGCTTATACAGAACCGTTTAGATTATTTTTAGATAGTAGCTCGATTCAATTAGCAGTGAGTGCCGCAGACATTGTTCCCTGTGTGCTTTCGGACCAATCTGCTATAACTTTAACCATTGGTGATAACCATTGTAGACTTGGAACATCATATTGGAAATTCAATAATAGCTTTTTAGACGATACAAAATTTATTAATCTAATTCAGGATAAATTTAAAACGTGGGTTGACGAGTTTGGACAAAATAACAGTATACTCTTGTGGGAATTTCTTAAATACAAAATCAAAAACTGTACAATAAAGTATAGCAAGTCAAAAGCAGTTGCCAGGAAAGATAAAATACGTGATTTGGAAAATAAACTATCGGAATTAGATAAATTGATGTCAACCCGTCCAACTATCAATATTCAAAATGAGCTCGAAAACGCACAAAACAATTACAGGGGGAATATGCGTACATTACAAACGAAGCAATAATCCGATCCCGTACAAGCTGGTACGAACAGGGTGAAACAATACAAAATTTTTCTTGGGTCTTGAGTGCCATAATGCAAAAA